TTCACTTGGCCTCTTCTGGAGGCTGTCCAGGCTGGACAGGAGGGACCTTGTTGCCTCCCAACAAGAAGGGAGGAACAAGATGCCTGATCTGGACGTAGTGTTCCAGGCGTTGCTTGGCTGCCTCTAGGTTTGTGTTCTGTTGCTGTCTGATCATTAAGCCTCATGCCTAAGGATTGCTTTGCACAAGGCTGGCACGCATCTCCAAGCCCCACGTGTGCACAGTGGCCCTACAGCCTCTATGGGAGCCAAAAGGCCCCAGCACTGGTGGCCCTGCAGCAGGGGCAGTGTTGCTGTGGTCACCCTGGGGTGCTCAGTGAAGGCTGGAAGCCTCTCCCTGCTGCCTTATTCCCAGACACGGGGCTTACAGAGGGACCTTCTCCACTCCTGCCGTCCTCACCGCCACCCTCGGTCCAGGCAGGGAGATACAGGCATTATCTGGTGGCTCTGCCGTTCCCCAAACAAACAGGGCAATGTGCCCCCCTGGGCGGGCACCTTGGACCCCACCAAATGGCGACACTTGTGTGGGTGCTGCTGTTTCTGCCATCTTAGTGCATGAATGGACAAGCAGGGCATTGACGGCAGCGCGGACGCGCACAAACGCTCCACTGTGTCCCCTCTCACACCTTCCCCCCCTCCTCCTCGGCCCCGATGCCCAAAAGACAATGGCTCTATCCAAGCCGATGTTCACAGCTGGCAAGGACGGAGGAGAGGCCGAGACCAGGGTGGGCAGCCCCAGGGCTCTGGGGGAGCAGTGGCTTGGGAAGGAAGGGACGAGGGCAGACAGGAGCTGGGGACACGTGGGTTGGGCTGGGAGAGGGAGAGAGGAGAAAGTGGACAGGCCAGAAGGAGAAAAGGGGGCTCGATAGGAGGGTGGAGGTGTGGGGATTCTGCTGACTTTTGGTGTTGGGCTGGAGGATGGCAATGGTTCGGTGGCAGTGTGTCATGCATGGCACTGGCACGGTGTTTTGCTGCTGGTCGAGCCCGGTTGTTGCTCCAGGGACCTTCTGGCCGCTGGGAACCCTGCAGCTCATCCTCCAGTACCAGGATCTGGTGTCTTGGTTAAACCCCACCTCTTCTGTACGGGAAGAGCTGCTCTGTGGCTTCTACAGGGTAGGTGATGTCCTTGAAAATGAGATGGCCGTAACTCTGCGTTGATTGCAGCAGTCCTGCCTTCATGGTGGTGAGGGGCATGTGGGGCATGTACTGTGTGTGTGAGCAGAAAGGTGTCTTAATGCACCTGAAACCACCTGGTGAGAGCATGCAGGGGGGAGTAACCCCATGTATGTTAGCTATATAGAGTTATAGAGCTGCTGGGTTGGCACCGTTGGTTTCTCCCTTTGACAACCCATGCAGACCCCAGCAGGCTGTCCTGGGAGGCTGAAGAGGATCAAAAGAGGGGATAACCCCACAGCTCCAGGAGGGGCTCCTCTGTGCCTCAGGGCTTTGCTCTGGGGTGGTCCCAGAAGTGCCCCAGGGGAGATGGGGGAGAGGTCTGTCTTGGCGTCCCACTCAGGTTACAAGAGCCACTTCTGCCAGGAGGGACTGGTTATTGTTACAGTCAGGTAATAAAGAGCATTAATTGAGGAGGAATGCTGGGCTGGGATGTGAGGGGAGGCGAGGGCTGCGGGGTTGCATTCCCCCCTGCCAGAGGAGATGTGTTCTTCCTTTGCACCCACAGAGTTGGGACTGTGGAGCAAAGGACAGATCGTCCCGCTGTGCCTTAAGCATCCTGCTGTCCCCAGGGCCCTGAGCAGTGATAGGAGTGTTCTCTCACCCTCACTGCATCCCATCCCGAGGCATAGGAGGCTGCTGTTCCTAGCTGGGGAGAAGTGATCCCAAACCTGCAGCTCCTGAGCTTAGATGGTGTTTGGTTAGCATGCTGTGGCCCAGATTCCTTGTGCTCGCAGCCCAGCCAGCAGCCAATCCTCTGGGGCAGAAGAATAAACACAGGAGGAAGCTGAAAGGGATGTGGAGCCCGTGGGGCCCTGGGAATATGCCAGTGTGGCAATGGGCTGCCAGTTGTGCAACCTGTGGGTGCCATCTCACTGCATGGCTCCTGGAGACTTCCACCACATCCTCCCTGCTTGGCGGTGGCTTTGTCAGCAGCGTGCTGAGGAGGAACAGTCAGGCTTCCAGCACCATCACAGGTTTCTTGCCCAGAGCACTCGGACTGGGGAGCAGGTAGGGCCAAGATGGCAGAGGGATGCCACCATCCATGCTACCATGAGGCAGGTACTCGCTGTGGCTCTTTATTCATCTCCAGTCCTGCTTTTGGAGCAGAATGCTTCATTTCTCATTCAAACCAGCACCTCCTAAAATGGGTCTCTGAAACCAAGCACAAAAATTCAGTCTCTGGTGCGTAGGTATGGGGACGCACCGTGCATCCGTGCGTGGCTTGGCACAACCTCGTCTCTTCTTCCCCCCCACTGGTGTTCCCCAGCCTGGGAAGATGGTTGACCTCATCATCTCCAGGTTCCCACATCTGGTTCTTGTTAGTGGATCCCAGAATGAAGTTCCTCCTCTCTCTCCCTTCCTTCCACCCCCAGGAGACCCAGGCAGGATTATAGGTGATTAGAAGACAGGCAACAGAGCAAGAATTGGGGGGGAGGGACTGTTATAAATAGAAATACCATAAACTTATCAGCCTATCACTCGAGGTAAATTCTGGGTTTAATCTCTTAGACCTGTAAATATGATGACTTGCAGGGGCCAGATGCCTTTAACTCTTTCAGTGCCCATCTCTGATGGGAAATGGGCTGCGATGGAGCACCTGGAAAGGGGACAGGGATTGATATCACCAGGAGAGCTGTGCCAGCAGCCCCGTGCCGTCGGAGCAAGGCAGCAAGTAGCTCTGCTTGGATGGCGGTCGTGTTTGGAGGTTTGGGGAAGGCAGAGAAAACAAGTCCAAACATTGGGATTCCTGACATTCTCGCACATATGGGGCCTCTGCCCTGCTCGTGAGGAGGGTGCTGTGGGTTTAGCATCTGCTTCTTGTGGCAGAGTTTTCCTTCAGGGCCTCCTTGGTGCTGTTGTGAGGAGGGGGCTAAGGGTAAGGCAGGGCAAAGGGTGCTGGCAGGTTTGGGAGCTCCTTTGCGGCAGCACTAGCTGAAGGAGGGGTGAAATGGAAGGTTGTTTGACCCAAGGAGCCCCTCCAGGGAGGTCAGCGTGCTGCCTGGGGCTGAGGGGACGTCAGAGAGGGGAGGCAGGTGACGAAAGCTCTAGTGCCATGTGGGTGTTGAGCTACTTCCTGCTCCCTCCTAATCCCACCTCGGAAGAGGAGGGACTGTTATTAGTGTCGTTAGGAGCTCGTGACTCAGTGGAGAAGCATTAACTTTTAATTAATCACCTAAGCTGGCTTTCAATAAGAGCCCGGCATGCAGGGGAGCCATGGTGGGACGTTCCCTGTCCCTGCGTCCTCAAGCTGAGGACAGCCCTACATTTTCAGTGGGCAGCCCTTCCCGTTGCACGTGTGCAGCTGGACCCAGCCTTGCCATTACTGAGGCAGCACAGCTGACGCAGCTCCTGCATCACATTTCTTATCACACCCCATGCCTAAGTCTCTGCTGAGCACTTCCAAAGGTGACTTTTAAGAGAAGGCAGCAGAAAAAAAAGGAGAGCCCAGCAGTGCTGCTGTCTCTGGAGGGCTTCCTGTCCTTTCTGGGTAGGTCCTGGGCTCCCCTTCCACTGTGGAGAAGCTGCTGGGGTTTGGAGATGGAAGGGAAACCTGTTGGAGTCAGGTATCTTGAGGCTTTTTCCTGGACACGCTCAGTGGCTTGGGGAAAGGCAACAAAATTGGTCAAGTGCCTTTTTGGTTTCTTGGAATCGTAGAATCATTAAGATTGGGAAAAGTTCAAAGTCCAACTCCAACCTACCTCACCGTGCCCATTAACAAGCCTACCTCACCGTGCCCACTGACCACGTCCCTCAGTGCCACGTTCATGGAGCACCTCTGGAGATGGTGACTCCACCACCCCCTGTGCCAACTCACTACCACTCTTTTGAAAACATAGGTCCCCAGCCCAGAACTTGGGATGAAGACATGTATTCCAATAGCTTTTGTGGCCAGTGGTTGCCAGATGTTTTGTAGCTCGGTTTTGTTGGCAGATGGTGAGGCGATGGAGAGAGTGCAGAAGAGGTGCCTTGGTAGTGAGGGGCTGGGAGCAGGGTGAAGGATCACTGCGGGGGACGCAGCACCCACGCTGAGCTCTCCCAGCCAACCATAGCTTGCAGCAGGACAACGGCGTGCTTGCAGCCACAGAATTTATAGGGGACAGTGTCACCTCCTGCTGCCCGCAGTGCCCCAAGGGCTGGATGTCCTCCCACGAGCAGATCCCCGGGATCATTCCCCCTCATTACCAAGGGAGAGATTCCCCTGTCCATGCACAAACCCTGTCCGCTTGGCAGAATTCCTGGCTGGATTTATTTCTGCCAATTTGCCCGTCTTTACTATGAAAGGGATTTGCGGAGGAGAGTGCTGCAATTGGCCGGTGTGGGCCAGAACCCAGGTGGGGTTTTTCGCGGTTCGTCGGTTGACCTTCCCCCAGCACACAGCCTGTGGGGGGCGAGGGCTGGCCCTCAAGCTTTGGGCCTCTTGGGAAGGGCCCTCTTCCTTATCGGGGCCAAGTCTCCTCTTCCACTTTCTTGGCAGTGTCTTTGGCACCGAGGGCTGGCAGCAGCCCCTGAGAGCTGCGGACTCCCACTTGAGAGAGACAGATAAAGAAAGCACTTTCTGTCAACAAAACCCAGCCCAGCTTCCCCAGGGCAGGAGAGGGGAGGAGGAGGCCTCAGGAGAAGGCAGAGGGAAACCCGCTGCTCGCCTGGCCTCCGCTCTGTCTGATTTTGCTCTGGGATGCAGATGGCTATGGGACCTGCGGGACCTGCTGATCTTCTCATCTTGGTTTTGGCTCTGCGAAGGTCTTCGGTGGCGTTTCTGCTCTGCAGCGCCTTTGCTTTTCATGTCCTTCTCACAGCTCTTGCTTCCGTCTCCTCTGTCCTCGCAGGTCATGACATTAATGGAGCTCTGGAGCCATCTAACATCGACACCAGCATCCTGGAGGAGTACATCAGCAAGGAGGACTCACCAGATATGTAAGTAGTTCCCTTGCTCCTCAGCAGGAGCTGTACTTGCTGTTGTTTTCTGTGGAGAAGCTCTGCAATGTGAGGAATCTTCAAATCACTGTGCCCTGTATGTTCCACTGTCCCTGCTAGAGTCCTCCCCTATAGGAGGTTGGTTTCCTGGGCACTTCTGGCCTTTACATCCCTACAGGTGGATTTTTCACCCTTTGGGGTTGCATCATTCCCACTGATCCAAGTGACCAACCTATGCACTCCTGCTGGCGCCACCACAATGCTGGCTGTTTCACTCCTCCTCTGGGTGTCCCAGAGCACCGTCCGTGTTGCTGAAGGGCTGGGTAGCGGGTGGAAAGTGCCACCTACCTGTCTCGCAGCTGAGGTTATCACCTTCTCTCTCTCAGCTGTTTCCCTGACATCTCTGCTTCATCTGGCTGTGCACACCCCCAGCCCTCCAGCTCAGCCACCATCAGCGCGCCTCTTCCCAGTTCCGTCGGCAGTGCTGGGCATGTGAACAACCCTGCTTCCAGTGGTTCCCTCCACCTTCCTTCCCCGGGCAGCCAGATCCCGATCCATCACGGTCCTCTCCTGGCCAACCCTTGCGGACCCAGCTATGGTGCTCACCTCAACTGCAATAACAACAATGGCATGGCGGTGCCCAAGGGCTACCTCGGTGGCCACTGCCTAAACAGCATGGTCCCTCCAATCAAATCGGAGTCCAAGGCCTCCTACGCACCTGGGTAAGTGGGGTTGGGGTGGCAGGACAAGGGCACAAGGTGAGGCCAGCAATCCTCCAGGCTGGTGGGGCCTGGAGGGTAGAGGTGGCTTGTCCCATAGTGCCTTAACCGCCGGCCGTGTCAGCCAGTGTTAAGCCCTGGCTTCACAGGGAGATGCTTTGTCACGAGTTTTCTGAAAAGTTGTTCAGTTTTGGTCTTGCCTGTGTGTGCTGAATTGGAGAGGATCAGTGACATCCCATGCATATACAGGGAGACAGATGACAGATGCACATCTCCACGTGTGTGGCAGGACGGAGTATCGTCCTTCTCAAGAAGGAAGAGATGCAGAATAAGTCTGAATAAGACCAAACTTAGTTTCCAGGATGTTCCCTTGGCAATCCCAGGGGAAGATGTTAGCTAAGTTGGGCAAAAAAACGCATTTCTCTTGGCCTGATGTTTTAGATACTGAAGAGAAGAAAGATATGGTGTCTGAGCTGAAGTTATTCCCCTTCATAACTGGCTCTGGATGCAGCCCCAGTGAAGGGGAAGATGATAATCGAGTCTTAGCATTGCCAAAGGACTCAACTGGACAACTGGGAGGAGAAATGATGAGGGAAACGGCGCTGGTGGGCTGGGAGGGCACAGCGACGTGGCAGCCTTGACAGGGAGCACCACACAGCGCAGCCGGGCTGTGGGCCTTCTCCAGCAGATGATGGATGTAAGGGACGTGGAGACCAGGAGGACCCCAGAACTGCTGCTCATCTTTACGAAGCCCTCTCTGGCTTTTCTTCCTCTGCTTTCTGCCCTCTAGTGTTGCCAGCAAGTACGGCGTGGTGCTTCCCGTGCTCAGTCCACCAGCTTGCAGGAGGAATAATTGGATTTGTAATGTAGCTCCACTGGGATGACTTCAGCTTGGATGAACTGGAAAAGATCTTCCAGAGTGTGACAACCTAAATAAAATCTGCCCTTATTTTATTCCCAGACTAGGAAGTTGCAGTGGAGACATGAGTCCTAGGGGAAGCCATGCCAAAAGCGGGGTGGGATGCTCTTCTGTGGCATCCCTTTCTTCTGCGTGCCTCTGGCGTTCTCCAGGATGTGAGAAGTCATGGGTAGGATCATAGCTCTCCTCTATTCATAGTCCAGGTCTGATTACCTGTCTGCTGGCTTCATCGTCTTGACTTGCAGGAGAACAACAAATCCATCAAGGAGGCATCAGGAACTGCTGTAGCTGAGGGGAGAGCTCATGTCATCATTTGGGGCTGTCATGGCAGTGATCAAAGCATTTGCCTGGGAATATGTGCTGCTTTGTCTGTGGTGGATCCTTGGCCTGGGATGTGGCTTCATGGCTGGACTCCACTGGGTGGTCACTGCGTACAGTGGAAGCAGGGTTCGTAGCAAGTGCTGGCTGCTGGAGAGCCTTGTTTGGGTGAAATGAACGAGGTTAGCTTTGCTCACAGCATTTCTTCAGCATCCCAGAAGGACTCATTCCGTGGCAGAAGCAGTCTCAGTGTCGAACGCCCACAAACCCTATCCATGGGCTGGGCGTGCCTGCATGACCTCCCTGCGTAGCACCCATCTTTCTGCTTCAGTTGTCCCTGAATTGTCTCTGGTCGATTTGTTATAGCAGGAGCAGGCTTTGCAGAGTGCTGTGCTGCTGGAACATGGTGGGGATTGCCAAGGCAGTGGATACAAGCAGGCAGACAAGATACCTCCCTGGATACTCCACTGCTGGTGATTTGCACAGGGGTAGAGCACACTGCAAGTGCTTTCTCTAGAGCCACAATCTTCCTGCCCACCCCTGCTGCAGCTTTGGCTTGTGGTGACCCCTCCTCAGTCTAGCTGGCAGCAGAGCCTCGATCCTTTCCGTGCATATAATCTGCAAAATATCACTAGAGAAGAACCAGAATCTGACATGAGCAAATCGTTCTCTTGTGTACCAGGACAGTGGAAGATTTACCCTGGCCTGAAGATATGTCTGATGAGGAGGGGCTGGAAGAAAGAGAAGGAAGTGTTGGTTCCAGTGGATTTCCAAGGAGGGGCTTTGGGAATGGCTGAAGAGCCCAGTAAGGAAGGAAGCAAAGGTGGCACTCTCTCTGTGGTTGCTATCCCATAGCCTGGTTGTGCAGCTGAGTGCCCAATTCAGTTGCATTTTGCAGTTAGGACCAAATCTTGCCCCTGGTGCCATTGGAGCAGAGGTAGAGTGATACAGCTGGCAGCTGTGGTGGTGCTCAGGTTTGTACAGGTCGCACGGCAGAGTGCAGCCCATGGGCTTCCCAGGTTGTGCTTTCAGCTTCCCTAGAATGCCCCATTTCTCCGTGGTGAAGCACAAGGTCTTGGGGGAACGAATGTCTTCCTGTTCGACTCAAAGCTGCTGAGCCGGTGGGGAAGCCTCATAGGCAGGTCGGCAAAATACCTCTCCGTGCTGCCAAAGTGTGGGCTGCAGGGCATGGTGAGAGCAATGCAGTGGCCATATGGTCACTGGAGGTACTCAGGTTGATGGGCATCTTGTGGGACCACGCATTGCTCCAACTAGACCAGTTGATCCCATTGCTGGAAGCTGCTTTACAATGACCTTCCCTTCTGTTTTCTCTGCAGCACTTTACCCGACTCTCCCCCTGACTCTGGATCAGAAGCCTACTCACCTCAGCAGGTGACTGGTAAGTGCTTTAAGGAGAGAGAGGGAGGGGGGAATAATATATGTAATAAGGAAAACCCCAGGCCCAACATCCTCCCCCTCTTTGTTCCATGAAAGTGGTTGGCTCTGCAGTCTTTATCAGACGGGAGAAAACAGGCGGCTGCAATACGTGGGGAGATTATCAGTTAGTAAATATCCCTGGACTGTCGCCTATTGTTCTCCTGCTGGTCTTTGCAAGGGGGGAGAGCGAGCAAGAGAGGGAACGGGAGGGAAGGAGAGATGTGAACCCACTCACACGGGGAGCGATCGGCAGCATGGCTCGTCCCTGGGAGGGTGGGATGTGGCAACCGGAGCCTCCCTGTGCTGCCCTGTGCCCAGAGTGAGCCAAAGGCAAGGAGAACGTCCCTGAAATGGAACCCGGTTCGGGGAGACCAAGATGAGCCTTCCATTCAGCAGTAAGTTCCTTCCATTCCCCTGCCCCCCTCCCCGCCTTCTGACCTGGGGCTCCCCCTGCCAAGGGTGAGAGAGCCTGTCCCACCCACGGCCACTGCCAGCCCCCCGGCTCCCTGCTGGGGAGCCACCTCGTGTTGTGCTGACCTTCGCTGTGCTTTGCTGGAGAAACTCCTTGGTGAGGAGGGAAGGTTGTCCTGGGCTCCCTTCCCCCTCGCCAGCAGCACCCTCTTTCCCAAGCTCCAACCATTCCTCACCAGGAACAGCACTTACTCTTTTTTTTTTTTTTTGATGGAAGAGGTCAAGAGTTCTGTTTATCTTGCTAAAAAAAAAATCCCTGGAATTCCTCCTGCCCCTTCCTTAAATATAACAAAGAGGCCGAGTTGCTCACTGAGGGGAGAGCTGCTCCAGTGCGCTTCCAGCACTCTGCTTAGGGAGGAGAGGAGGCAGCAGGGAGCTCTTCAGGGCCCTACATGCAGCACATGCACTGGGGATGTTGAGAAAACCCATTCCTCTCAGTGCTCTGCAGGGCAAGGCACGAGGGCTGCTCCGCAAGCCCTGAAGCAGCCCTGAGTCTGTCTGTGCTTGTTGTCCAAGGGTGGTTGGGAAGCTTGCCTTCAGATCCTCATTTGATCACTACATTTATTCATTTAGACTGTAGAACGGTGTGATTTTGCCAGAGAAACATGTCCCAGGTGGAAAGTTTCTCCTCTTCCCACTGTTTGTTTTGGGATGCAGAGAGGATGGAGAAGCTGGTGTAGAAGATCAGTGCAATTCACCAGACTCCAATCTTTGCTTTCCACTCACACAGCATATGGCACTTGCCCATTCGTTTCTACAACACATAAAAATAAGCTGCTGAAATGGTGCCAACATTGACTCATCCTTGAGGTCCCTTCCAACCAAAGCCATTCTATGATTCTGTGATTTTCTGCTCCATCTGAGAGGAGCTTGCTCGAGTCTTGCCTTGCATCAACTTTTGTACCAATGTCTTTGGTTTCTAGAGTAAATATATGAGTCCAGATTCCAGGAGTGTTTTGGTTTGAGCTGAAGCCCTCTGCTGTGCACTGGCATTGCCACACATTGAGCTGGTGTTGAGCTGGAGCCTAGGCAGCTGCAGAGAATTTGCATGCCTCTCCACCAGCATTTATTTTGATGGCAGTGTAGTCAAATCAATCCCAAGCATGGCATTTCTTTAGTATCCCATTCCACAGAGAGGAGGAGGAAGGTGGGATCATTTGAATGCTTGTTTTTGTTTATTTAAATGTGGAGGTCACAGTCACCTTCTGGCTGTGTTTCCAGGCACAGGCTTTGGACAGGCCCCTCTGTCGGACCTGTCATCCCACCGCTCTTTCTTGATCCATGTAGTTCCTCGGTGATGCAGGCATGTTCATCAAATCACCAGGATTGGAAGAGATTGGAAGAGACCTCTTAAGGCCATCAAGTCCAACTCTCATCCCATCCCCACTGTGCCCACTGACCCTCAGTGCCACATCTCCATGGTTCTTGAATGCCTCCGGGGACAGTGACTCTCCCACCCCCTGGGCAGACTGTGCCAGTGCAACGCCGCTCTTTGCAAAGACATTTTTCCTAATATCCAGCCTGACCCTCCTCTGGCACAGCTTGAGGCCATCACCTCTCATCCTAACTTTCTGCCTGATGCTTCTTCCCTTTGAAGGGAATTGCAGAGCTGATACCAGACAGAATTCCTCACAGTCAGGTTTTCACTACGGAACATTAGGGTACCTGCGCTTTAGGAAATTCCAGGAGTGGTTGTAATCTTCCCTGTTTTCCCTCAGCCTGAGAACCTGTGTGCCCTTTGAGTTAGTGAAGCTCAGTTCTGATCGCAGAGGAGCGCTCACAGGGAATTCCTCATGGCTGGGCTTGGAGCTGAAGCTTAGACCTCACGGTGGTCTCACAGGCGTTCCTCTTTCTCTGCTCTTCAAGATCCTCACCTCCTTCGGACCATGACCCCAGAGAACATGTGCCATGTAATTCCCCCATCTCGCCTGGAGCATCCTCCGCCGCCACCACCTCCTCCTCCTCCTCCCCCCCACCTGCAAGCTGTGCCCCCTCCTTCCCACCCACACTACCCTGGCCTGCAGCGGGACCTGTACATGAAGGCTGAGCCCCTGATGCCACCCTATGGCATGGGGCAGGGCATAGCACCAGCTGACCTCCACCACGCTCAGCAGTCACAGATGCTGCACCAGCTTCTCCAGCAGCACGGAGCAGAGTAAGGCTGCTGGACATTGGGATTTGGCGTGATTTGGGTTTGGGGGGATTCTGGGGAGGTGTTGAGGTGGGAGTCACCCAGGGGGGACACTCAAAGCTGGATGGTGGGGACAGAGGGGAAACTGAGATGTGGCTCAGTGCACGCCTGGCACAGAACTCACCATGGGTAGGTGAGGCAGAAGGTGGTGATGTTGCAGGGTTGTCACCTCCCCGTTATCCCACAGCCTCCCAGTGCACCCTGCCAAGAAAAGGAAGCATTCCGAGTCACCCCCAAACACCCTTAGTGCACAGATGCTCAACGGGCTGATAAAGCAGGAGCCAGGCATGGGGTCTGTGCCACTCAACCCCGAAAGAGTTCCCACGCCTCCTTGGCACCAGCCAGGACCTCTCTCTCCAGGTATGTGGTTTTCAGCCCCTCATCCCTTTAATCCTTCCCCAGCATGCAAACCTGGCAGTGCTGGGGGTGAGTGTGTGAGTTCCCAGGAGCAGGTCAGGCTCCAGACCTTGTGCCGCTGCCATGCCCTGGCAGTCAGGAGACGACTTGCTTCCTTATGCTTGTATCCAACTGAATGCTACATCACAGAATTTTCCAATCATAGTATGAAGGGACCTCAAAGATCGTCTAGTTCCAATCTCCTGCCGTGGATGGGGTTGCCATCCACTAGGTTGGACTTGGCAGGGCCTCTTTGGGGTGTCTGAAACATGTCTTTCTCCCTCTGCAGGCCTGATTCAGGATAATGACAGCTTGAATGGCTCCTATCTAGACCCCAACTACCAGTCTATAAAGTGGCAGCCACATCAGCAAAACAAGTGGGCAACTCTCTATGATGCCAACTATAAAGAACTGTGAGTAATTCATCCAGAATCACATCCAACCTTTCATTCAATGGACTTTCCATTCAAGTGCTGAGGTTGGGGAGATTCAATGTGTTGGACCTGCCTTGCCTTTTAACACCTGCTGACCTCTTCTTGCCTGCTCTGTGGTGGAGACGCTCTCCCTGCTGCACCTTTGCCATTGGGAAGGTCTTTGGGAAGGTTTCTCTGCATTTCTGAGTGAGCAGTGGGGGATTAAGGAATGGGTCTGGTTCTGCAGGATTCAACAGTTCAGTAGCATTGGAGGCAGCCACTCAGACCTTGAGCTGCCACTGGGGGATTCTTGTGGCAAATACACCTTGTGCCTGAGCACCGTGTGGATGTGCAGCACACTTTCCCCCTGGCCAGGCTCCAGGGGGTTTTAAAGCTCCAGGGTTTTAAAAGCTCCAGGGTTTTAAAAGGTGCGTTAGGATTTCCAGGACAATGCATAGCAGGAATGACTGGGGATAATCCAGAGCCACTTCAGCACACGTTGAGAGCAGTGCAGAGAGGAGCCTGAGGAGGAGGAGTGGTTGATGGGTGGAGGAGAGGAGAGAAAGAAAGAAGGAAAGGTTGGAGGGTAGCTGGAAAACTAGGAGGGGTGGAGAGACCAGGAGTGCAGGCAGAGAGGAAAGCTGGGGTAGAGGGTGGAGGCAGAGTGTGAATAAGCCTTGTAGGAAACAGTGCTCAGGAGGAACCCACTCTGGATCCTCCCTACATTCCTCAGAGGTGACTGAGAGCAGGCAGGCAGCAGGCAGGCTTCCAGGAACTAAGCAGACTGCCCTGTTTCCCTTCCTTCTCTTTCTGGACAGCCAGAGGCTTGTAGGGTCCTCCTGGGGGACATGAAGGATGGAGTGCTCTGCTTGCGATGCCAAATAACCCAGGGCTGTCATCATAGCTTGCCCAGATGGTGCTCAAGGTAGGACAAGGACATGTGGCTTGAGAGCTCTGCAGAGACGTGACTGATGGTTACTTCTTTGGTGACACCCTGCCATTTCCAAAGGCCGTATTTGTGGCTGTTTTCCTAGCCACAGCAGGAGAGGCTTGAGTTTGGGAGGTGTTTGCTTCTGTTTTACCAAACTGTTTCCATAGTCCTCTGCAGACCTCTGCTTCAACTTTGTTTCCTCTGCGGTGTGAATCTTTTCTTTAGTGTGTCGTGGCCTGGCAGCTTCCCTATGTGCTCCCTTTGCCAAACTGTTTTCTCATCTTTAGTGCTTGGTTTTCAGCCAGGGCCTGGACATCACTGGGCAGCTACAGCACTGAGCTTTTCCCACCTGATAAAGCCATCTTCCTGGTCCCAAGAGTGGCCTCTCATCTGCTATCAGTGCCAGCAGGAGTTTCCCTTTGTGACGGAAGCACAAACACACCTTTTGTAGTCAGCAGGGTCCAATAAGCTCTGTACGTGACCTCAGTTTTCTCTTTGACACAATGAGCCCTCCTTTGCCTTCCATCTCTCTGTTTACCCATGCTGGTAAACATGTTTCAGGTGTTTCTCACCTGAAACACGTCACAGCTCCTGTGAAGAGGTTTGTTGCACGCCCTGATATTGCACAGGCACACTAACACTGCACTGCAGTCATTGGAGTGCTGCAGAGTGCAGCTTTCAACTCCTGTAAACCCAACCCTGTCCTACCACCTTCCTCAGCTCCGTGCTCGGGATCACTTGCTAATTCCTGCTTTTAGGATTTAGGGTGGAAGCCAGAGCAAACCTACTTGTGCTGCATTTAGGTCGTGGCCCAGTTGCGTAATGGCTAAATTCCTTTGAAATGGCTTTGCTCAATTTTAGGAACCCCCATGTGGTTTGCTGTGGTGCTGGATTCGACCCAAAAGAAGAGATGAAGGATTGATAAGCTGCATTTTCTGCAGCACGTAAGCTCAGGGGACTCTTCCCTCTTTGTGGCAGCTGAGCAGTCAGGTAGCTCCAGGAGAGGTTGTGCAAGCTGAGACCACGTCTCTTTCTAAGTAGGAGATCATTTAAATGGGTCTCTTGGTGCAGCACTGCAGCAGAATAGAGCTGGGAGGAACTGCACAGGCTCAACTTTCTCAACTTTCTCTTCTTCTACAAGGGCTTTTTTTCCTTCTTTTTTTTTTTTTTTGGACAACCAACTTATGTTTCAGCAGGCAGGAGTCTCTTTCTTCCTTTTTGGTGCATTCAACAAATGAGTTTCTCTTTGAGATCTGTGAGTACTTCCACGTTAGTTTCCTCTGGGATCATTAAGCAAGAGCCAGCCCTTCCCAGCCTGTTTTTAGCTGTCATGCACTTCATATGTGCTGTTATGGTTTCCTGCCCCTAGGGGAAGCATATTTTCTCTCCTGTGATCCACGTGCCCACAACCTATTCACAGCCCCAGGAATCTGAATCATCTGAATCACCTGATTTTTTCCTGCCCTTGCTCTCCAGACAAGGCCAGAAAGGCATGTTAAGGAGAGAGGCTGAACCACCAGCCCATAGGAAACCGTTGAGTTTCTTATCCCAGTGTGGTTTCAAGAGCTCGCCAGCATTTCAGCAGTGACTGCTGCACCCAACAAGCAGCCGTGTGCCCTGTACAGGATGCTGAGTTCTCAAAAGCTGTAGGCCCACCTGGGTATATGGTGAAAAACCTGCATCCAGAAACACAGCCTGTGTTTCTCCATGGAGCAAGACAAGTGCTGGCAGCCCCCATAGAGGCAGATTTCTCAGGTTCGTAGTGCTTGATCTTCCTCCGGTTCTGCCTCAGAGATGTGAGGAGGCCTTTTCTTCCATCATTTCCTACTCGTGCTGCTCTTGGTGAAGGCACTGGTAACCAGTACCAAAAGATTTTTTGTTCCTCAGGTGTATCCTTCCTTGCCCGTCAGCCATTTCTCATGTACTGCTGATCTGGGCTGTGTCTCAGAGCCGGCTCCTTCCCAGCTGTTGAGCTGGGCTTAGCACAGGGACAACCTGAGCAAATTCTGTGGTTCCTGGGTAGCTTTTCTGCCTTCTGAGAGACGTGCCTGGTGCCAGTGAACCTTGTCATAGGATGGTAACAGATTCCTTGTGCCCAGGGGCTGTAACCAGGAGAAGAGCGAAGGGAGCTGAGCTCTCCAGGCCTGCAGGTATGGCTGTGGGACTGTAGGCTGTAGTTTCCTTAGAAGCAGTTTGAGTTAAGGAAGTTGAGGAGAGGACAGAGGGAGGAAAGAAGGGCTCCTTTATGGATTGGAGTGGAGGTGCCTGGAAATCTGTGCCTTAGCATGCTTGGTTTATGTCAGGCTTTGGTTACGTGGGCAGAGGAATCTGTGTTGCTTGAAGGAGACCTAAGTCTCCAGATTAGTTTTATTGATAGTATGTTTCTCCTTGGCCTTTTGCACTGATTTTGTGGTTTCAGACTTGCTGAACCTTCAAAAGGGTTAGGTGGTTTCCAGCAGCGGTGCCAAAGAGGCCTGGAACCAGGCAGCTCACTAATTTACTCTCAGGAGCAGAAGTAATCCATCTCCCTGACAGTGCACTCTGATAAATACCAGCAGGCTCCCTCCTCTCTCTCCCCAAGTATTTACAGTTTGAGGTAAGGCAGTTTGAGGGGAAGGCTAGCACTGCAGTCTCTTCCCATCAAGCAAGCTTTTGGAAGCCTGGTTTGGAATAAGCAACCCTACAGCCAGCACCAACAGCTGCAGAGCACACAGGGGACAGAGAGCAGCCTGATGTGGTCCAGTCCTGAATGTATTTCAGATGTTGGTGAATATGGGCTGAGATGGTGCTGGAAGCCTGGAAGGAGAACAAAGCATGAAATTACTGAGCAGATCCTCAGCTATGGGGCATTCCAGACATGATGGCTTAGGAATGGTTGAAACAATGGGGAATCTGGAATAGGAAAGAGGTGGAGGAGAATTTCCTTGCATAAAGAAAGCTGATGGCATAAGAACTTCCCTCTGACAATCCTGTTTTCTGCAACAGATCTGAATGCTGATCCCCTCATTATCAGAGACATTTTTCCTTGCATTGTCTTCCCTTAGAGGACGAGAGCACTCCCCACTCCCGTAAGTGTGGGTCCCAGCATGAGGAGTTGGTAACCCCTGAAACCTCCTCTCCTCTGATCTTGGCCTTCTGAGCCCTGCGTTAATCTGCTTTTGTCAGCGGGGCGTTCTGCCCAAAATAATCCATTTGACCCTCGACCTTTTCTTCCTGATGTTTTGCCCTCTGGCCCTCACACTCATTGGGAGCTAGCCTTGCTCTCGCTGCCCCCAAACCATTGGCTGCTGTTGTTCCTGACCCTAGGAGCTGCTCCTGCCTTCCCCAGCCTCCGAGCACAGGGATGGGGTGGCAGAGACACCCAGGTCCCCATGCTGGCTGCGTTCCCCGTGGGTTAAGTTGAAAGCTAGGATGTGTGGCAGTGGAGATGCCCTCCCGTGCACCCCATGTTGGGGGGTGACACTGATCACAGCCTGAGTCCTTTGGGAGCTCAGGGAATGAGACTCAGCCTGACAGTCTTCCTCTGTTTTGGCATATGCTTAGCAGCCATCAGTTTGAGTGATGTTAACCAGAGCATGGTTTTGAAGCAGATGTGGTTTGGAAGTACAACCTGCCTTCAAGTGGAAACAGCTGAGGTGGCAGAGGGGTGAAAGCAAATGGGAAAAGGGTTCCTCCATCTCTGGGTGAGCACAGAGGATCCTAGGGCCTGATAAAGCTCTGGCTCCTGAGACCAGACCTTATGGCTAAGGCTGGGAGGTAAGCAGCAGTAGAATGGAATTCCTTTCGTGCTTCTGGACTAAGATAGTGCTCTGCTTCCACCATCTGGCCTGTGTTCAGAGTCTGCATAGTCCCTCGGGTGCAGGAGATGAGGAGTTGCATCCCAGTGTTACTGGGAATGGGCCCCCCGATCTCCTCCAACATTAACCCTCCTGTAGAAAAGTGCTCAGTGAGTTTTAAGACTGATATCAGAGGCCAGACTGAGCCGCCTTTTGCCTTCTGAGTGTTTAAGCACAAAAATAAAGGGGAAAATGTGGGATTTTGGTCTTCTGCTGGAGATTCTCGAGGGGCTGAGATGCATCCCAGGGGCCCACCCGCCTGGTCTGAGTTCTTCAGCGGTGAGAGAAAAAGGGACTTGCTTAAAGGCCACATATTTCCCTCATTCCCGTGGCAACCAGCCCATTAAGGAGATGGAGATTAAACCAACCCAGCTGGTGTGTGTTGGCCGGGCAGCAGCATCCTCCTCCTCCCACTCAGACCTTGCTGATTCCACAGGAACTAGGCGTGTGGGCAACATCAAGAATGTGGTGGGTAAAACCAATGGGCCTGTGGGATCCCTGGCCTCGGTGTTGCCACGTGCCGTGCCCCACAGGCCCTGCGCTGCCTCTGTAGCTGGGAGCTTAGCCTCTCTTGATGTGCTCGGGGCTCTGGCCTAATGTCTGCTGCCTTTTCCACAGCCCCATGCTCACCTACCGCGTGGATGCTGACAAAGGGTTCAACTTCTCTGTGGGCGACGATGCCTTTGTGTGCCAGAAGAAGAATCACTTCCAGGTCACGGTCTACATCGGCATGCTTGGAGATCCCAAGTATGTGAAGACCCCCGAGGGCCTGAAACCCTTAGAGTGCTTCTACCTGAAGCTGCACGGAGTGAAGGCAAGCAGGAGCCAAGCGAATGCAGCAGGGAGAAGGGGAGCTGAGATCAGGCAACCACATCTTTCATATGCTGAGTTGTAGGGGTGTGTGCAGGAGAATGCTGAAGGTGATCCTTGATCTTCAGCTCTTGAGATAGGACTCTAATTTGGATTCAGTTGCTCCCTGGGCATCCCAGGGTTTCCTCTCTCTTCTAGAGGCATTTGGGAAGATCTGTTCACCCTCTGCCAGAGCCGCACCAAGTTAGGCACTGCGTGTTGGTTGTGCAGGAGGGGTTGGGGAGGCAGTGGGAAGGGGAAAGTCTCGGCTTTCCACTCTTCATCACATCCCCAAATCTTTCTCTCCAGCTAGAGGCCCTGAACCAGTCGATCAACATCGAGCAGTCGCAGTCCGACCGCAGCAAACGGCCCTTCAACCCTGTCACGTGAGTGAGGGTGGGGAATAAGCAATAGCAAGGGTGGCTGGGGAAGGGGGGTTCATGGGAAGGCTCAGGAGAGCACTGTGGGTAGCACACCCTCCAGTTTTACTGCCCGCAGCAGAGTTTTCCTCCCTTTTTGCTGCCCGCTCCCTTTTGTGCCCAATTTGTAGCCCTACCATAGAGGAGCAGGACAGGAGATGGCCGTTCCTCAAGGAGCCTCCTCTCCAGAAGCATCCTCACTTGCTCCTGTGTTTTCTCTTCGACAGGGTCAACCTGCCTCCAGAGCAGGTCACTAAGGTTACTGTGGGGCGGCTGCACTTCAGCGAGACCACGGCTAACAACATGAGGAAGAAAGGAAAACCTAACCCAGACCAGAGGTGAAGAGCAGGGACGCCTTTACAAATTGTTCTGTGCGCTCAGGGCCTGTGGATGTGCCAGCCCTTGCTTTGGGAGGCAACAGGCCCTACGCTGGCCATCTTTTTCTCACGGAGGACGGAAGATGTCTGCTGTGGCCACTGTGGTCTCCCCCATTCTACAAGGGGTTGTGGACAGGGGAGAGGGGATGTGCACAGCTCCCTGTGACAGCCTGGTGCCCTGTCCTTGAGGCAGATGCAGCAGTTTGCAGTGCAGGATGGCACCCTGACCTCTCTCCCCTCTTGACAGGTATTTCATGCTTGTGGTAGCCCTGCAGGCACATGCACAGAACCAGAACTACACACTTGCAGCCCACATCTCTGAGCGCATCATTGTCCGAGTAAGTCCTCCTCTCCTCCCATAGCCCTTTGCTGGATGAACTGGGCAGTTCTCCTGCACCTCTCTAGCTTTTCAGTGCATTCCCCTCCCAGCTGTTTCTTCCCTTTTCCAACGCTGCCTTGCTTGCAGCTATCCTTGCCCGTGGCTGTCCCTGTCCATGCCTGCGTTCTCATTCCAGCCTTTCTACACCTGCTTGGTTGGAGCAGCCTCAGGGCATCCAAGAACTTGTTGCGGGACTGGGAAGGTGTCTCCTTGCCCTGACCTTGCACTGGTGCTTACAGTAGAGCTGCTGGGAGTGAGGGAATGGTGTTGTGAGGATTCCACAGCAGGGACAAGACCTCTTGGTGCAGAAAGACTGGGTGCCCTGCCATGGCTGCACTTTGTGCAGCAGCATTCAGATGGGAATGCAGAGCGGCAGGAGGAGGTAGGCATCATCCCTGGGCTTTCCCAGGGCTCTTTTAATGAGTGTTTAGCTCTGCGGGCTGAAGGTAGCAGGTAAAATGCAAAGAGAAGGACCTTGAAGTCTGCAGACTGACGTAAAAGGAATTGTGCAGCCTCCAGGGTGCCCAGAACTGCAGGGAACTGCAGGCAGCCTGTGGTGCTCCATCCCAACAGGTTGCAGAACAGTGGGATTTGGGGGACTGTGGAGCCAGGAACAACAGCTGTGTCACTTATGGACTTCAGATGTCCTTGTGTTGAGTTGGAATTGTAAGAGCTCTGAGGACTGAGATAACACAGCTCAAGAAAGCAAGGATATTCCTTTAGGGAGAGGAGCAGAGCAGGTGTAACCTTGGTTCCTGATGAAAGAGGCTTGGTCAGGGCCAGCAGATGAATGCCAAGACTGCAAAAGCAGGCTGGGATTTGTTCCCAGAACTGGCAGTTGTATCCCTGTCCCTGCCACTTTCCTTTGTGCTGCTGCAAAGCTCTAACACCTTCACAGCCTCGCCTGTCCTCTTGTGCTGTCTGTCAGCTTCCTGCTGTCCCTGCTGTAGTGCAGGTGCTGTTGCAGCTCAGCCTCCAGGTGTTCCTAGAGCTGCGTGCTGTAGAGAAGGCACCTCCACCAGGGTCCTGTGTCATGAGCTTTTAATCTCAAAAGTCCCCTCCAGCTTCTCAAGCCACTTTGATCAATCTGTCCCCCTTCACCTGAGATCTCTCCCACCCCTGACTCCCATTCGCAGATCAAGGACACAGCTGTGTCACTGGGGTGCATCTGCTTATCTCTGCCTTTTTCTCCTGCCTCTTCCCAGGCCTCCAACCCTGGCCAGTTTGAGAGTGACAGCGATGTGCTCTGGCAGCGGGCTCAGCTCCCTGATACCGTGTTCCACCACGGTCGGGTGGGCATCAACACAGACCGCCCCGATGAAGCCCTCGTGGTCCATGGCAACGTGAAGGTGATGGGTTCCCTGATGCATCCATCAGATGTCCGAGTGAAAGAGGACATCCAGGAGGTAAGAGCTGAGCAAACCAGGCTGGACTTCACTGACATGGCTCAGAGCAGGCCTCAGGGCCCTCTCACACAGTGCCTCTTGCTCTTGGGACCTGTCATAAAGGTGAACCATTGTGAGTTTTGCCATCTGGGGTCAGAGCAATGGCATGTAAGGAAGCAAACCCCCACTTAGGAGATGCATGTCTCTGTTTTGTCCCAGGTGGACACCACAGAGCAGCTGAAGAGGATCTCACGGATGCGGCTGGTGCACTACAACTACACACCTGAGTTTGCAGCTACGGTGGGCATCGACAACACCTCTGAGACAGGTACAGACCCTGCATTGTGCTACCCTGCTTGTGTCTGCAGCGCTGGAGCTGGGCTTGTTCAGCCTGGAGAAGGCTCTGGGGACACTTCACTGTGGGCTCCCGTGGTTCCTCTGCTGAGACTCAGTGGTCTGTGGGCCTCTGATGAGCTCTGCTCAGGATACTGTGTGCACCCTGTACTGTCCCCAGCACAGAGAGCTCCTGTCCATAATCTCTCGGGTCAGAGGAAGAGCTGTGGCAGGAGGAGTGCTGCCCAGAGTCCTGAGAGCCACTGTGCCATCTCCACACAGGTGTCATTGCTCAAGAGGTGAAGGAGATCCTCCCTGAAGCAGTGAAGGACACCGGGGACCTGGTCTTTTCCAATGGGAAGACCCTGGAGAACTTCCTAGTGGTGAACAAGGTCAGTGGCAGCCAGAAGGGACAGGAAGGGCAAGGAAGCTGGAAAGGCTGTCGAACCTGGGTCAAGAGAGTTGTAGAGCTGGAACAGGGAAAGCGTGGAACAGGGAACGCTTCTAAACCAGTACCATCCATATGAGTTTCAGACTTGGCTGATCTTTCAAATGGCAGGAGCTGACCTGAGTTGACAGTAGACATCTGCAGGGAGGGGCTTGCCTGATGTTGTTGAACGTTGTCAGCATCTCCCTCAAGATAGGCTTCTTGTTGGCAGCTTCCTGCAGGGAGGCTCTTGGTCATAATCTCCTTTCTAGATAAGATAAGGTGGTTATGTCAAGATAACCAAGAGCACCTGTGTGCCTGAACTCACTGTAACCTGTGGCAGCCCTGTTTGCTGCTCTGGGTGTTGAGAGGATGGATCTCACTGTCTCACTGCTCTCCCAAAGCTGCCAGCTCTCTCCTGCATCTCTCCCTCCTCAGTGCCTAGAGCGAGAATGGCCAGGGCTGACAACTTAGTGCATCAGGGATCCTTTGGTTTTTAAGAGCATTTCTCTTGTTCTTGCTGACTGTTTGACCTGGTCTGTGGCAGGAGCGCATCTTCATGGAGAACGTGGGAGCTGTGAAGGAGCTGTGCAAGCTGACAGACAACCTGGAGACCCGCATCGATGAGCTGGAGAGATGGAGCCACAAGTTGGCCAAGCTCAAACGTCTTGACAGCATGAAGTCAACTGTGAGCTCTGGGGCGTTCAGGTATGGGCATGCTGAGGGCAAGAGTCCAAATGGCTCTTTTCATAGAACCATTAAGGCTGGAAAAGACTTTTAGGATCACCAAGTCCATCATCAACCCGTCCGTATCCACCAACCATGCCCTCAGTGCCGTATCCACACATTTCTTGAACACCTCCAGGGACCCCAGGCAGTCCTGAATGGCAGCTAATTTTGGGAGAGACGGGAGGGGAGGAGAGAAGATTGGTAGGGTATTGGCAGTTGTCATTTGGTCTGGAGTTGTTTTAGAGTGCTGAGGCAGCTCTAGCATCCACATACCAACATTGTGCTCTCAGACCAGCTCCCCCCCCAAAATACTATAAAATGGTCACCACAGAGTTAGCGAGTGCCTTTCTCAGAGCAAAGAGTTTCCAAATTGTCTTACTAACCTATGCCAGCTTATGAAAGTTTGGAGCAGAATTCAGGCTTTGTACCAGCGCTGTGTCTGCCCCCTGGAGCAGGCTGGATGGCAAGACTTTGTCACTTCACACAGAGTTGCCTTTTTGCCTGAGAACTTTTTCTTCTTGCAGCCAAACGGGAAGCCAGTTCAGCCGTGCAGGAAGCGTGCCCCACAAAAAGAGGCCTCACAAGATAGCCAGCAAGGTAAGGGACTGCTCCCAAACAAGCCTTGCTGTGTGGGGAACTTTCTGGGAACAATATTCTGCGTAGTTCTGCAGTGTTTTCCTGCACATGCTGCAGAGGGAGAAGCCCTGTCTCCTCCCACTTTCCTGATCTCTCCTTCCATTTTGTCTGTGCCCAAGGGAGGCGTTTTCTGGCTTTGCTCTGAGGGGGCTGGGGGCCCACAGGGGAGCAGGAGGAAAGCTTCGGATGTGATATGCTTAGAAGCAGGGAGGAGCAGAGGACCTGACCTGAGCTTGGGATTTCTCTCTTGTAGTCACCGTCGGTTGTCCCGGAGCAGGCCTGCATCAGTCAGCGCTTCCTGCAAGGCACCATCATTGCCTTGGTGATCATCATGGCCTTCAGGTGGGACCACACATCCAGGTCTCCCTCCCTCCATCTCATCAGCTCGGTTTAGGCTGCGCCAACCAAACTGGCAGTTCTTTGAAGCACAGTTCTCAGGAGTGGTCTCTCTCCTTACTGCATCCTCAAGGCTTCCCAGCACCGTGGTAGGGAAGCATATCAGTGTCTGAGAACAAAGAAGTCCAGCTTACTCTGCCATCCATGGGGTGGTCAGTGGACCTGCAGATCCATTTGTGGAGTGAAATCCTTTGGCAGCAGGTCAGCACCGTGCCATGTCCACTGCTCCATCCTCAGCCTGGACCTTTGTCTTTGCAGTGTGGTGTCCATGTCCACGCTCTACGTGCTGAGCTTGCGCAGCGAGGAGGACCTTGTGGATATTGAAGGGTGGGTATCTCTGGGCTCCATGGGATGGATGTGGTGGCTGGGGCAGACTAAGGCAAGAGGAGCAGCTGCTGTGGGGTTATTGACCACAGCTGTAAAGCCAGTCAAATGCATCATGTGCCCAAGCCTTAAACTGTTTGCAGCAAAAAGTGAGGAGCAGAAAAAAAGAAAACATGCTGATGGTTGGCTGCTGACCATTACTCGTGGTCTGTCTGAATGTTATTTGGGTGCCTCTTCTGCTGCACTAAAACAGCAAAGTCCCAGCACTGAGTTTTGGGGTTGGACTCCTCTGTAGGAAGCAAAGGTTTTCCTTAGTGTGGAAAGAATGTCAGGCATGCACACAGTCAGCCTGTGCTGGGCATTCAGTTTCAGCACACTTTGCTCCTTCAGGAGCTTGTGGCACCATATAATGAGCATCTTTCTCTCTTTCTTTTCCCCATCCTACTTCTCTCCCTTACCTTCTGGTTACAATTTCCATCCAACTCATTTTGTTTCCATTTTCTCTTTAATTTTCCCTTTCTTTTCATTTCCATCACCCACATCCTCTTCCATTGCCTCCCTTTACTTCCCTTCTCTGTTCACTGCCCCATAGCTCTTTTGCTGTGCCCACTGCCTGTCTACTGGCCCTCTTTCGGCACAGGGGTCCCGGGGTCCCAGTTGCTCTGTGCCCACGGTATGTTACTCTTTCATTATACTGTTACTTAATTGCTGCATCCCTTCTCTTAGTTCCCCTTCTTTTTTTTCCATCTGCACCACAGAAGACAAAATCTTGAGCAAAATGTGGCGGCTCAGCAAGTGAGGTTCCAGGAGTTATGCCATAGAGTCCTTAAGGTTGGAAAAGACCTGTAAGACCATCAGATCCAACCACACACCAATCACTGTAGTGCCCATCAAACCATGTCAGGCAGTATGGAAGGGGAATTGTGATCAGCAGAGTGAAGAACCAGTGAATCAAAGGCTAACTAAAGAAATTGCACACTGCAGGTAGAGCAAGAATAGGCAGTACTTAGAAAGGAAGAAAATTAAAGAATTAGCCCCAGAGATGTTCCTACACTCTCTTTGTATATGAGTAGCTTTATTGTGAAGGGTCACTCAATTACAGGTGAGCTTAGAGTGCAAAAAAAAGGGCAGGAAAAGAACTACTTTAACTACTTCCATTTATGAGCCATCACCACTGAGAGTACTTGGAAAGGCAGTGACCCACTTCTGGTGCCTGACTCACTAACAGGCAGTCTATGAGCTCCACTCCTGTATATTGGCTCTGCAGGAAAGCAGAAAAAGAAGCAAACAGAAAGCAGTTTGAGAGGCGTGGCCTTTAATGCAGCACTGCAACCCAGGGAAAGCTGGCTGAGTTAATAATTAGGAACAGATGTGTAAAGCAGCTTTGTCAATGTGATCTGTAGCAACATACTTTCCTTCAGAAGTAAACAGGTCCTATTTGTCTATCAGCACTCTTTGAAGAAAATACTGTGTGAAGAGCAGCACAAGGTATGGCTAATTTGTTCTTTTAAGAATGCCACGAGGTTTACAAGAGGCTGTTAAAAAGTAATTGATGATGGGAGGCAAGATAAAGCTGGGCATGGTGAGTGCTGACAAGGCGGTGGAGGGATGGAGGTAGATCTTAGCTGGGATAAAGGCTGGCTCCAGAGGCTGGGTCTGCTTTTCCTCCAGCAGTCCAACACCATGTCTCACTAATGAAAGAAATATGTAGTCAGGTACTTCTTGGAGGTGACAGTGTTATTTTGCTGTCTCTAAACGAATGAAGGCTCTTTGAGAAACCTTGAGCAGTGCTAAGAGGACAGGCAGGACATGGCTTCAGGACAAGCAAAACATGGGAAAGAAAAAACTGAAGTGAGGAAGGAATGGACAGGTCAGGTCTTCCACTTCTTTGCTATGAGCTCAGGAGAAATCTCTATGCAGTGAAGAGCTACAGCTTAGACTCATTCTTGCCAGAAAAGCAGAACTGTCACCCCATCCACTGTGGCATCTCCAAGCTGTCTGTGCTGTGTTTGCGCCTAGTGTTCTTCTTTCCTGTCTTGCTTTTTGCAGATCACTGCAGGCTTTGCCCCTCTTCCCCGTCTGCCGTCACTGTTTGCTTGTTCCATCCCCCCACTCACTGCTACACCCACAAAGTGATCCCCCGTGGCAGAGTTTCACCCCTGCTTTCCTACGTTCCTTCAGGTCAAGCCAGAATATTGACAAAACACAGATGGTGCGATCCACAGCTGCATCAGACAGAGCCAGCAGCAGGACCCCAACACACCACGGTAGGTCGCAGCTGCAGCTCCACGGCAGAGGCTCATGGCACGGAGCTGGCTCTGTGCTGGGAGCTCCTCAGAAGAGATGCAGAGGGTGCTTACTCCATCTCTCTGCTCTTTGCCCTGCAGCCACATCACATGTGCTCGACTTACTCGATGCTTTGCCTGGTCACAGCGTGCTAGCCTGCTTCAACCCACCGTGTTTCTCCACATGCTGCTCTGCTGCTCCCACCAATGCCTCCTCTGTTGCCCTCTCTGAGGCCAGCCCTACTCATGTCACCAATCAGACAGGTAAGTCCCATCCCAGCAGGAGGGAGATGCTGGGACAATGCTGAGCTCTCTGTCCCACTACTGCATCACTTCGTGGCCCCAGATCCCTCTCACCTGGTTTTCTAACCCTGCACCTGCCCAGGGACTGCTGGGCTGCCGATGTGGTGTGGTTTGTACATCCGTGGTCCTGCTTCCAGGGTAAGTGGCAACGGAAGAGCTCGCTCTGCCAGTACGGAACCATGAGAGCTGGCCAGTGTGCCCAAGCAACTGCAGTTTGCAGTGCAGCCTCAGTGCTGTTTGCTTTTGGCAGGCCAGGAGCTGTGCTTTACAAGCCCACTTATTATGTCAATACTGCAGGAGGAGTGGCAGCATCTCAGGCAGTCACTGTCCAGCCATAACACCCCTGAAGTCGTAGAACCATAGGAATGTTGGTTTGGAAGGGACCTTAAAGATCACGTGGTTGGGTTGGAAGAAACCTCAAAGCCCCACCAGCTCCACCCTGGCTGGAGGTGTGGCTGGGTGCCCCTACAAGCTCAGGCTGTGCAGGGCCCCATCCAGCCTGGCCTTGGGCACCTCCAGGGATGGGGCACCCACGGTTTCCTTGGGCAGCTGTGCCATGGCCTCACCACCCTCTGAGTAAATAATTTCCTCCTTACGTCTAACCTAAATTTCCTATCATTTCCATTCCCCCTTGTCCTATTACTCCATGCCCATGTAAAAAGTCGCCCTCCTCCTGTTTGTCAGCTCCCTTTAAGTACTTGAAAGCCGCAGTGAGTTGTCCTGGAGCCTTCTCTTGTCCAGGCAGAATGAGCCCAGCTCCCTCAGCCTGTCCTTGAAGGAGAGGTGCTCCAGGCCATGCCTTCACCCTGCCTTTAGCTCTGCCATACTCAAGAGCTGTTAAATGCAAGTGTGACACAGGACATGACAAGGGGACAGGACAATCCCAGACCCTCAGCTTCTCAGCACAACATCTCTCCCTTTCCTTCACAGACCAAAGTCAGACCTCACTGCAGCCAGTGACAAATATCAAAGCCAAATCCAGGGGCATCACCAGGAAGGCAACCTCCTACACCAAGCGGCCAAAGACGCCTGACAGGTCTCAGAGCTTCGGCAGCCCCAATGCCAGCCCCTCCTCCCCCTTCACCCACCTCCAGGGCAAATCCAAGTACATCTCCAACCTCTCGCTCTCCCGCAGCAACTCCCCACTGGGGCAGGCCCGGCCGCAGCGCAGCATCAGGCAGCTGGTGAGCGAGTGGCCCCACACACAAGACCCCAGCACAGATGGTAGGTGGGCCCCTGGCCGCCTTCTCACGGCTCTTCCTCACTTGCCAGCCCTTTTCTGTTCCTACATAGCCCATCTCCCACCCACAGGGCCAAGCCCAGTGCTGCGTTCCATCCGGATCCTGGAGATTGATATGGCCATCCAGTCCCAGTTCTGTGCAGCCAGCAGTTCATGCAGGTGAGGAAGACGGCAGTCCTTGGGGAGCTCCAGAAGCAGATGGGCTGTTCCTGGATCCCTGGGCCTTCACTTGCCATCACTCCAAGGCAGCCCTTGGGCACAGGAGCTGGGGCTCCTGCTGAGCCCAGCCCTGCTCATTTACCCAGCGTGCAGAAGGACTGGATACAGTGATTAGCCAGCTTGGGAACTGGCCTGGGGAACCCACCCCTCTGCAGTTCCAGCCCAGAGAAGGGACTTTAGAGCCCATCCTGGCTATCTCACAGCCAGCTGGATTGCTGCAATGAGGTCTTTTTCTGTCTCCCTAGGACTGGAAACTTCACCTACCGCATCCCCATCAGCCAGCTGACAGCAGTGAACACCAACCTGACCCTGGAGATGAAGTGAGTGGACAGGGCTCCTTGGTGTTTCTACATCCCTCAAGTGGGCTGGGTACTGCGCCATGTCACCATGGTGTCTCCTCTCCAACCTGGTTAGAGACAGCAGTGCCTGGCACCTTCCAGGGCTTTACCACCTCTTGTCTCCCCAGCTCCTCCTCTGTGCTGTCCATTTCCCTTTGTGGCCTTGTCTCCAGCGACCCTTGCCAGGATGTTGCAAGCACAGACGGCTTCAGTGATGGCACAGACACACAGGTAGGCAGGGGCTCAGTTCACACTACCCACGTGTGTGAAGCATTGTGCTCAGACAGCTGTCCTGTGCACTGATACTACATATTCCTGAGCTGATGCTTTCATGGGGCTGGATAAAGTGTTTAAGTGCTTTTTGTCCTGCTCAGCCTGTCTCCATAGCTGAGCATGGAGGTGCTGTTCCTCCATAGACTGCTGTAGGATCACTCGATGGAGCAGAGATGTGCTCTGCTTGCCATGACAGCCTTGGAGACATCCCAGGATGCTCAACCCTGCTCTCACCGCAGATACTGTTTTCTTCCCCAGGAAACGACACACCGGTGGCCTCTTGTGATGCTGTCTTTCAGGGAGTTCACCTACCACTTCAGGGTGGCACAGACTGTGAGTACAAGCAGCTGCTTTGCTCCTCTTGTCCAGGGCTAAGTGGGAGGACGGCAACGGGAATGTGGCATCATGCATCCTACCCCGACCTGTAAGCTCTTCTTGCTTTCTCACGTAGGGCCGAGCCAACTGCAGCACTACTCCCGAACAGATGGGACACCTTTTTACTGACTATTATTTTCAGTTCTACTGGCTCTGTGAGTGAGTCCTGGCAGCACCAGTGCCCTTTGGTTGGAGAGAGGAGGGGGACTGGTGACACTGGGGAACTTCCTGTACACCCTCCTCCGCTGACCCCCAGCCCCACCTCAGCCCCGTCGCCCTCCTTAGGGGTGGAGATGGTTTGGTTGTGACTGGCGGTGCTGACACTGAAGTACAGCACATACGGAACACAGGACCTAAGCCACAGAAACACGACCAGCCCTGCGCCATCTCCTGGGCTCACCTAGCACCAACACTGCCCCAAACACCCTTCCTTCCCTTTTGGGGACGCTTGTGTCCCCCAGCCCCTGCAACACTGGATTTGAAAGCATTACACTGGATGGAACGTGGATGGATCTGCCATATCCCAGAGCATGGGACTTGCCCAGCTGTGCCACGTCAGTTCTCCGCAACACTGGAATTGCTCAACACTGGAGCCCTTTCCAAGAGGAAAAAGCTGGAGTTTCACCTGGAAAGGAAAGGCTGTGCCTGGACATACTGGAAGTTGTACACTGGAGTTGCTGTTCCTTCAAATTGGACCTGCAGCCCCACCAGACCCCTGGAGACCCCAGGACTCCTGTTCTCCACAGAAGGTGTAGCTTCCGCATTTGCCCCCCTCCTCACTGTGCTGTCATTACATCCAGGTCAGGATGGATAAACTCAAAAACCCCACTAAAGATGCTGCTCAGGCTGTGCTCAAGCCAAACTACACGAGAGGACACTTAACCATCAGCCCCTGGGAGGAAAACTACCCCAAGCCACTTGTGTTAAGTGTTGGTTAAACACTGTAGGACCCATTTTCTTCACTTGCCAGTGGCCACTTGTGATGTGCACAGAGCTGCCCAGTTGGCTCTGAAGAAAAAGATGACTGACCAAGCCCAGTGTGCCCTGCAGAGCACAGCTGGGCTGCTGGGGCTGTGTGGTGTGGTTTCACTACGTAACCAGCGGGGGAAAAGCAATGACAGTGAGTTCTCACTGCCTCTGCTCTCAGAACGCAGTTACGTTGAGTGTACTCTGGGTATTTTACTGTTACAAGTTCTTAACTTGCTAAACTACTGAATTTAATTTCTTTTTTTAAGCCACATAAAAATGGGTCTCTTAATTCTGTCCCTGTTGAGCTCTGTGCATCTTGCATAGGAAACCGAAGGGGGGCACTGCTAAGCTCGATGTTAAAGCCTGATTGCTGCAGCAGTACTGGGATGTCAGCTCCCAGTGCTCCCATGCCCTCCTTTCTGTCCTGCTCCAGCAAAAGGAGACCTCTGTGCTCCTGGAGGCTGAACCACCACTAGCTCCAGAAAATGGAGACTCATTTTCCTAAGGAAGCAGCACTGGAGAATGGCAGCGAGGGGGAACACTCCGGTCCTGAAGGAAACCCTAAAGCTGATTAAGAGAAGAGCACACCTTTTGGGAAACAGCATCAGGGTCTGGCTGCTGCATTCGTTCTGTCAGTGGAGGTAGATGCAGCGATCCCTTTGCCAGCTGCAGGCCATGTTTTTTCCATCGCTGAGGAGCACAGGGCAGGAGCAACTCTCTACCAGCAGGCTCTTCTGCTCTGGAGAAATGAGCTGCAGAGATGTTTTACCTGATAGATGGTTCCTACATGCGCTGCTTCTGTTACAGAGCTCCCTTCTGAGGCTGTCCCAGCAGAGCAGCTGCACCCTTGCAATTCCTTGCAGCATCACTGGGATTTTGCGTGGCTGCCCTTCCAGGACCTTGCCCTTTCCTTTATTTGCAGGGCAGTTCCAAGGTCAGATCTCTATTCCAATGCTGTGCCCATGGGCAGCAGTGGATGATATGGGTGATGCTCTCCAGCAAGCACAATGCACTGAAGTCTGGGCAGCCAGGAACCAGAGGGTGAGCAGGGAATGCCAGGCAGCCAAAAGGAATGAAGCTTAGGGAAACCTTTGGGGAGCTCGGAGGGAGAGCAAGAGGCACGGCAGCACAGACACAAACAGGTCAGCTCTGTGCTCAGCAGGATTTTCTGCTTCTGCAAGGAAACCCTCTGGTGGACTCTCAGAGAGGATGCTCAGCACTCCTCTTTCCACCTGTCCTATGCATTCTGCTCAGCCTTAAACTGAATAAGTTACTTTCTTGGCAGCTTTTACTCTCCACTTGGCAATCAGTGGCTCAGCCAATCCTCGTCCTGGCGAGCAATGCCCTGTGCTCTGCTAGCTCTGCTCAGCTGAGGGGCAGCCTTCTCAGACCCCACTGCCATTTCTCCTACCTGCCCACGCTCTCTTTTAGCCCCCACAGAGGTAACAGGCAGTGCTGTGACGGCTGGAGCCGACAGTGCTGCCTGCAATCACTGCCACCAATCCACCCTTGCCAACGGAGCCCCTGAGCCACACGTGTGTCTCCCTGGCTGCAGGCAGGGAGGAGAAAGCAATCAGCCACTGGACACATGCCAGCCCAAGAGGAGATGGGGGTCTCTCAGGTGTCCCTGTGATGCTCAGCCATTGGGTTACAATGGCCTCAGCAAACCAAGTGCCTAATGGCTATGGGAACATCTCTAGTGCCTTGTTCTGCCAACAGGGTTCCCTACGCCTGTGTGTCTCAAAAACAGCGGTCTGTCAGCTTGAGAAACAAGGCAGTACCCGAAGTGTAACAGGTGATGCTGCAGCTGTTTTACAGCAGGAAAACAGAAGGGGCTGAGAGCAATCTGTGGTATCAGAGGAGAGATTCAGAACATCATCTTCAGCATCTTACGTTGCAGTAATTTGTCTTAATGTACATCACAGATCACACATCTGTTCCACCAGCAGCCGAGCAGCAATGAGCTCAGAAGGTTTTTGTAACAAAAAAAAAAGTCAACAAGACTGCTTCTCAGCCCACGGGAACAGCCGTTTGCACAGACCACCCCTGGAAGCTCTCTGCCCTGCCCACTGCCCTGTTCCCCACTCCCAATCAGTAACCAGAGAGTTCACAATCAGGCCTTTACCTGCGTGAGACGGAGGGAGCTCTGAGCCAATGTCTCCAGCCCTGCAGCTCGGGGAAACCCTTCTTCAGCTGGAAACAGGAGCTTCATCTCTCTAGACATTCTTGGCAGAAAGGAAGCCAAGCATGGAAACGAGGCCACTTGCCAAAGTTTGGCTGTTTCGGAGTTTGTTTCAAAAGCAAATTCACAAACATTCTGTCCTACTGTCAAGAGCTTAAAGCCTGTAAATAGAGACTATACCACCACAAGAATTAAGAAAAAAAAAGTAAAGCACTAATTTGTTTGGTTTAAATGTTGCTGTCACTGCTTTAATCACTGTATATTGCCAGCGAGTTCGTAGAGTTGCCTTCTTAGCAGGTATTATTGATCATAGGTTTTTATTTGTGGGGAACAAGTGTGGTTTCCCTTCCTTTCTTTCTGATTTATATTTATATTTTGCTAAATTGGAGTGCTGAGTCTTCAGATTCCCCACTTTTATGTTTGGCTTATTTAGACTTTGTTTTATGCTGGAGGTAAATATGCCTATATAAATAAATATATGAATATTGCTTTGTACTCAAGGATGGCTCCTGGCTGTGTTCCTCCCTCCCTCTTTTTTCCCTTTCAGTTCACAAACTGCTCATCACAAGAGCGAGGAACCCCAGTGCGAATGACTCAGTGGGAGCTGCCAGGCGTGCCCACAGCGGGCTCAGGACAACTGCAGGTGTCCTGCTTTGGAACAGATGTAAGAAGAGCTGTGGCTGCTCACATCTCAGAGGTCAGGGCCAGATCCAAAAGGCATCTGAGAGAACCTGCAGAGGGAAAGCTTCCTCCGGACAGTGTATCAAGGCTTTAAGTCTGTGTGGTACCTGCAGAATTTGTAACTCCGAGTCCTAACTGCTGTGAAGGCGAGGCTCCAAATGCAAGCTGCCTTACAAGCAGAGCGATGCGTGCCGTAAATAAATGCTTTCAAAGCATTAATTCAATAATGCTTGAACAAAGGACACAGTCAGCTCAAGCATTCCTCCAAAACCTTATGTCCCACAAATACAGTTTGTGTCACCCGAGACTTCTAGACTCCAGCTGCAGCAGGGCACAAGGCAGCACTGAAACACTTCTGGGCATACACAGCACTGGACATCCATGAGCAACAACAAATCCTCAGTTGGAGTTAATGCTTCTTTCAAACAAAGCTCTAGCTCATTAAAATGCTCTTTGTAACTTTTCTGCAGTGCTGAGCATTGTCCAACCAGACACCACTCACTGCAGCACAGGAACTCTATTGCCAAGACATCTGAGTTCGATACCAGGGTGCTACACACCACCAGCTGCAGTTTCACAGCATTTGTTACTCTCTGCAGTAGGATGTCTAGCTAAATTCCCCTCGTTTTTTCAACTGCTTAGAAGGAAATATGAATTATGCTTATCTCCTTACAAAACAGCTGCTTCTGCTGCTCCAAACAGCCCAGGAAAAGGCTGTGGGTACAATAAAGGGCCTGTCCCAAGGCTTATGGATTTTGTGCAGAAATCAGAGTTGGTTCAGAAAGTCAAGTACAAACATCTAAGAGACAAAACTGCAGGTGCATCACAGAGCCAGTTTTATTCAGGTTTGGTTTGTTGTGCTGGCAGGAGTCACCTGACAGGAGTACAGTCCATGCCTGAAGCAAGCTCCCACACTGAAGTATAAAACAAATACAAAAAGAACTTCTCCGGAGTTTCCCACCTGGAACCAAAGGAGAGAGAAAGGAGGTAAGGCAGATTTCCCCACAGCAGCATCCCCACAGCACAGGGACAGATCCTCCATCAGGTGCTGCGAGGTTGGAACCACACCCTGAGTAAAAAAAGAGCACCCAGCAAGCACAATCCTCACTGCTTCACACCAAAATGAACGTGTTCTGTTTGCAGAAGCGCTCTCTATCTAAATCAGCCAGCAGCCTCACCCTGTCACTGGGCACCTCCAAAAACAGTCTGGCCCCAACCACTTGACTCCCACCCAGCAGATATTTATAAGGATTGATCAGATCCCCTCTCAGCCTTCTTTTGTCCAGGCTGAACAGCCCCATGGCTCTCAGCCTTTTCTTGTGAAGGAAATGCTCCAGGCCCCCATCAGCTTCGCCCTCCACTGGACTCTCTCCGGCAGTTCCCTGTCTGCCCAGAACTGGGGAACCCAGCACTGGCACAGTACCCCAGATATGGTCTCCACAGGGCAGAACAGAATGAGAGGAGAACCTCCCCCACCTGCTAGCCATGCTCTTTGTAACAGACCCCAGGATTCTTGGCCATGAGATCACAGTGCTAGCTCACAGTCAACCAGTGGTCACCCAGGACACTCAGGTCCTTCTCCAAAGAGCAGCATTGCAGCACCTCTGCTCCTAACTTGATACATGTAGTTATTTCTTGCTCTGCACAAGGCCCTGTACCTGTCAGGGTACAGCCCTTTGTGTGCCCCAAATCCACCCCTGAAGAAAGGTAGCTTAGAAGCATAATTTGGAGTTATGCTTTGCAGGCACCTCACACACAACATGCAGCACAAAGCTTTCATCCTGCTTACAGCCACTGGAGGTCCACACGCCACTCTGCCTGGGCCTCACACATAGATCCCAACCCACAGCAGCAGGAACAGGACACCAAACCCCATGAAGAGCGATGCCACCAGTGAGATCAGCAGCTCCTTGTAGATGTCTCGCGTGTACTTGGTGGATGTCACCTCATAACTGCCAGTGGAGGGTTAAGGTGACAACAGGGGCATGGCAAGGTGGGTCCCCCCACTCTCGGTGCCCAAGGATACACGAAGAACCATGCGGTGAAGAACATGCCAATGGCGAGCAGCACCACAGTGAGGTGCGGGAAGACAGCCGGGTTCACTGGGCTGGTGTACCTGCTCATTGCCTCCAGCTCCTGTGGGGGCATGGCACGGGGCAGCAGGGCTGCCGGGCCCCATGCTCAGTCTCTGGCCCTAGTTCCCCGGGTTCCCTGCCCCAGCTATCATCCCTTTCCCGGCTCCTCCTCCCAGTTCCCGTTCTCCAGCTCCTAGTCCCAGCCCCGTTTCCCACTCCCCAGCCTCCAGCTCCCATTCTCGGCCCCAGCCCTCAGTTCTCGTTCCTGCTCCTTGTCCCTGAGTCTTGTTCCCCGCCTTTTTCCCAGTTCCAGCCCCCAATTCCCATTCCCTGTATCGGTCCTAGCCTCGGGTCCCAGGCCCCGTACTCCGTTCCTGCTCCAGGTTCTCCTTCCCATTCGCAGCTACTGACTCCAGTCTCAGCTCCCGGTTCCCACTCCCGGTCTCAGTTTCAGATCCCAGCCCCAACCCCAGCTCCCATTGCTGGTTCCCAGCCCCAGGTTCCCAATTCAATGTCGGTCCCAGTCCCGGGTCCACGCCCCACCATATTGCCCCAGATCCCGGCTCCCGCCGCTCTCGGACACGTCCCCTCAGCAACTTCCGCTTCCCGTCACCACCGGAAGCGGAAGTGACGCGTTCCGGATCGGGTGGGCCGGGGCCACTCGGAGCCGCTCGGCATTGGCTACCCAGCAGGCAGCGCGGCCTAGCGCGGGAACGGCGCAGGGTCGGAGCAGAGGGGTAATGGCGGCCGGGCGCCGCGGCGGGGGCAGCGCGGGATAACGGTGGCCGGAGGGGGCTGAGGGAGAAGTGGCGGCGAGAGAGGGCTGAGGAGGGCTTGGAGAGGCCGGAGTGGGGTCGAGGTGGAAGTCGGGGCGGGCAACGGGAGGCTGCGGTGCGTGAGGCCTCCGTTCTTGGGACCCGTCCTCCCATTTCTCTCAGCTCCCGGTGCTTCGCTCTGTGCCCGCAGGATGGGAATCCACGGCTTGGCCAAGCTGATCGCCGATGTGGCGCCCAGCGCCATCCGGGAGAACGACATCAAGTCGTACTTCGGGCGGAAGGTGGCCATCGATGCCTCCATGAGCATCTACCAGTTCCTGATAGCTGTGCGGCAGGGCGCCGAGGTGCTGCAGAACGAGGAGGGCGAGACCACCAGCCACCTAATGGGCATGTTCTACCGCACCATCCGCATGGTGGAGAACGGCATCAAGCCTGTCTATGTGTTCGATGGCAAACCACCACAGCTCAAGTCCGGGGAGTTGGCCAGGAGGACGGAACGCCGCTCTGAGGCCGAGAAGCACCTGCAGGAGGCTCAGGAGGCGGGTGAGGAGACCAACATTGAGAAGTTCAGCAAGAGGTTGGTGAAAGTGACCCAGCAGCACACCGACGAGTGCAAGAAGCTGTTGATGTTGATGGGCATCCCCTATGTGGAGGCGCCAGGGGAGGCGGAAGCCAGCTGTGCTACACTGGTGAAGGCAGGGAAGGTGTATGCGGCCGCCACAGAGGACATGGATTGCCTGACCTTTGGGAGCCCTGTGCTGATGCGGCACCTCACTGCCAGTGAGACAAAGAAGCTGCCCATCCAAGAGTTCCACCTGAACCGGATCCTGCAGGACCTGGGGCTGACCTGGGAACAATTTGTGGATCTGTGCATCCTCCTGGGCTGTGACTACTGTGAGAGCATTCGCGGCATTGGGCCGAAGCGGGCGGTTGAGCTCATTAAGCAGCACAAAACCATCGAGGAGATCATCCAGCACATTGACACCAAGAAGTACCCCTTGCCTGAGAACTGGTTGCATAAAGAGGCCCAGAAGCTCTTCCTAGAGCCTGACGTCGTCAACCCTGATGACGTTGAGCTGAAGTGGACAGAGCCAAATGAGGAGGAGCTCGTGCAGTTCATGTGTGGGGAGAAGCAGTTCAATGAGGAGCGCATCCGCAACGGGGTCAAGAGGCTGAGTAAGAGCCGCCAGGGCAGCACGCAGGGCCGGCTGGATGACTTCTTCAAGGTGACGGGCTCCATCACGTCGGCCAAACGCAAGGAGCCTGAAACCAAGGGGTCAGCAAAGAAGAAAGCCAAGACCAACAGTGCCACAGCCAAGTTCAAAAAGGGGAAATAACTGGACTGGCCAAGCACAAGCCTCTGTTGTTAGTTTTCATGCTCAGCTGAGAACTTTAGGCTAATAATAAATAGTCATCTTAATGTTCTGCGGGTTATTGCTGGGAGGGGTGCTGTGTGTGTTGCTGTCAAAGTCCTTCCAGCATGGCTAGGCTAGTGAGGGAGATGGGAGTCTGCTTCTGAAGCAGCTGTAATGCATGAGGGCGGGGAAGGGGCTGAGACAACTTCAGGTGAGGGGAGCTGGCCGAAAGTGGTGGGTGAGGACTGGAGCAGGTGCCTTCAGCAGTTCAGCTGCAGCATTTGTCAGTTGAAGGCTTTCGACAATGAGGCCACAGAAACTGGATGTCACGCCTAGTCAAACAGCCCTCTGATTTAAGTAACAAAAAAGTTAGACAGCTAGAGAGCAAATCAGGCACGGCTGTTTGAGATTCCTCCCTCACACAGCTCATCCATAAAATTCACCCCTTACTTTCTTGAGGCATCCTTTCACGTTGTACACACAGGCACACAAGTCCCAGGCTAAGGAAAAAAAGAAAAGATATTACCTTTTTAAATTATTATTTTGTTCTGTACTAAGCATAACTTTTTACTTGTCAGAGTGATCTGCTTTTCTGTTATCACTGTAGTTTTGTTTTAGTTTTTTAAAGAATAAAATGCGTGTGCAAACATGACCTTTCTCAAGTTCTCTGGAGCAGTAGCTTAAACCTTGTTGAGGGCTGTGCAGGTCACAAACTCCTGATTTCAAATGGAAACCCACTGGTGTAAATCAGTGACAACAGCCAACAGATGAAGCACAGGCTTGAAGGTGAAATCCACGTTTTAATCCTGGTGTTAATGGTGGCTTTGGGGTGCTTGGTTGATCTCTATCTGCTGGTTGCTAAGTTATAAAAGAAGCTGGGCTTGTTTCACAGGGGAATTCCATTGATATTACAAAAATAACCCGGGATTTTCAGCCCTCTGATGTTTTTAATAAATACACTGTAGCCAAGAGCAGCAAGTGTTTCTGATTTTAAGATCTTTCTAATAGAAAAATGTAAACACTGATGTGCCACTGTGGGCCGCTGCTCCTGGGCAGCTGTGCGTGGTGTGCTTGAAGCTCGATGGCTGTGCTCTGCATAAGTGATGTGCAGGTAAAAGCAATGCAGTCTGCTCCTGTCACTTACGGTAATTATTGCTTTGGAAGAATCTTCACCCAGAAATGCAGGACATTTTTGCAGAGAAGTTTGGATTTCAAGATGTGAGGAGTGATGCTGTCAGTGTTGGTGCCTGACAGCGCGCAGCTCGTTAAGGAGATTAACCTGAAGCTTCATGTTGGTAGAGCCACAGCTTTGTTTCTCACGTGCTCAAAGCCACAGCGCGTGGGGCACTGGATGAAGGTTCCCATGCAGATCTCTGTCTTTGGATGCTGCTTCATCTTAAATCACAGGCAGATACCCAGAAGGGATTATTTTCACCTTGAGGACACACCTGCCCAACCTTGGCACCCCATTAAGCTTTATTTGATGCTTTTTTCTCCCAGCTGTGGCTTTGCCAAAATGAATTTCCCCCACAGTCCACAACGGCACTAATGTTAATGAGCCCTTTCCACGTGGTTAACCGAGGAGGGGACAGCACCCAGGTTCACGCTTCCCGAAACTCTTCAGAGAGTTTCTAACGATTCCCTCTGCGGCATGAAACCTCTGAGCCACCATTTACTTTGGGGGCTTTGCTGTTGAGGGTGGAAGCCATAAATAAGCCGTGCAGAGAAAAAGCTTGTTAGCTGGAACGCACGTCTTCCCTGCAGTAGATGTCCCCACTAGCTCATGCTACCTCACTGCTACCACACGCGAGCCGTGCCATTGCTTTCCTTCCGCGCGGTTTCCTCTCCTGCCAGCAGGCACGCTGTGCTGACATACGGCGGTACGGCTGAAGGCAACAGCACGGCGGTGAGTCAGTTCCGTCCTCCTAGGAGTGACAGGTGAGCCTGAGCTGCAGACTCCTCTCTTCGTAGTGTTCTCAGAGATTTGTTTCATCGCTGTGCTGGGTGATGCTGGGCTGATCACACTGATCACGACAAGCCCCCAGCTGCACGCTCCCATGTACTTCTTTCTCTGCAATCTATCTGTTGTTGATCTTTGCTACTCCACTGTCTTTTCTCCAAGGCTGCTTAAGGTTTCTTGCTGAATAATAAAGCCATTTCCTACTCTGCCTGCTTCACCCAGCATTTCTTTTTCCTCGTGTCTGTGACCACAGAGGTGCTCTTGCTGGCCGTGATGGCATACGACCACCACATAGCTATTTGCAGCCCCTTGCTCTACATTATTTCCATGCCCAAGAGCTTTGCATGAAGCCTGTGGCTGGCTCGTGCCTGGGGGGCATTCTGAACTCACTAACCCAGACGTGCTGCTTGCTGTGCTTGCCGTTCTGTGGCCCCAGTATCATCAACCATTACTTCTGTGACACCAACCCCCTGCTGAAGCTCACCTGTTCTGATGGCCACCTCCATGAGCTTCTGCTCATCACCTTCAATGGGCCGCTTCCCACGACTGTGCTCCTGGCCGTCACCTCACATGCATATATCCTCGTCTCCATCCTGAGCATCAGGTCTGCCAGGGGACGACACAAAGCCTTCTCCACTTGTGCCTCCAACCTGCTGACTGTCACCTTATTCTACGTGCCTGCTGGCCTCAGCCACATGCAGCCAGGCTCCAAGAGCTGCTGGATGTGGAGAAGATTCAGGGCAGTGTTTTACACCTTGCTTGTTCCTATGCTCAACCCTCTGATCCACAGCTTGAGAAATAAGGATGTCAAGAACACACTCAGGAGAGCAAGAGAGAAAATATTCTCTCAAGCTGCTCACTGTGTATTCTGACTCTTCTCTGTTACTCAGCAGTACATCCCCTTTCCTTGGTTGCATTTCTCCTAGAAAAACCCTGCTTTACAAAGATGCTTATTGTAAGGCATACAGTTAATTCACTTTTGCATTTATGCATGGAATCGTGGCTGTAGACTTTCTACCAGAATTTACATGGTACGTGGAAGGCAAAGGGTGAGTCTTGATGAAACATTAAAAAAGCTTTTTGCCAACTGTTTTCCTCAAGGCATCTTTCACCCAGGCAACAAGCTGTTAACTCAGGTTGAGATTGAGGTCCAAATCCATCAGCAGTGTTAAGAATGTTAATTCTTGTCCGGTACTTTAAGTCAATATAAGGTAAATATTCTCTGAGAAGAAAACCTCAAGGTCCTGCAGGCCATCTCGCATGCAGTAATAGATGAACACACAGAAACATCAGCAGAACACCCAGAAGTGAATGCTCATTTTGAGTCAGTGGAGGGTGTGCTTCCACCCAGCACAGTTCCCCCGTTTTTAGGGATGATCTCCAGTAACATTCCACACTGTTCTGAAAGGAAATGGTACAAGTAAATGCGAGAAACACCAGATCAGAATAAGATCAAATGCAGCCATTTCCATAAAGTCCATGATTTTCACAGTGGCTACTGGGAAAACGAAGTAACTCCTTATATTGTTGGTCAGATCAATGCAAGTATTTTTAATGTTTGTACCTGAAATTGCAGAAAGGGCCCAATGTGGGTTCGAGTTGGGTTTAAACAAGCCAGTCAACAAACAAGAACTAACAAAACAACAGAAGAGGCAGGTAGAGAAAGCATTCACTAATTGGCTAAAATAAGACAGTGATGCTTATTGGATTTGTGGCAAATTAGAAATGGAATCTCATAGTGCTACCATTTTAATTTTACAATTGTAGGCAAAAATCCTAAGAGAACATGATGATTGGTCATGAGTGTTATTCCCCAGGGATCGGAACTGGGGCCTGTCCTGTTTAATATCTTTACTGATGACCTGGATGAGGGGATCGACTGCACCTTCAGTAAGTCTGCATGTGACACCAAGCTGGGAGGAAGTGTTGATTGCCTGAGGGTAGGAAGGCCCTACAGAGGGGTCTGGACAAACTGGATCACCAGACTGAGGCCAGTTGTATGAAAGTCAACAAGACCAAGTGCTGAGGTCTTGTTGAAGAGGAGGCTCAGGGAAGAACTCATCACTTTCTATAACTCCCTGAAAGCAGGCTGTGGTGAGGTGGAGGTTGGCTTCCTCTCCCAAATAACTAGCAATAGGATGAGAGTGAATGGCTTCAGTTTGCTCCAGGGGAGGTTCAGGTTGGATATTAGGAAAAAAATCTTCTCCAAAAAAGTGGTCAGGTGCTGGAATGGGCTGCCAGGGAGATGGTGGAGTCAGTGTCCCTGCAGGTGTTCAAGAAACATGTAGATGTGGTACTGAGGAACATGGGTTAGTGGGCAACACTGGCGGTAGGTGGATGGTCGGACTGTATGATCCTGGTGGTCTTTTCCAATCTTGCTGAGTCTATGATTCTGTGACTCTCTCGTGCCTTGTGACTTTGCAGCAGCCAAGTGTTCAAGCCCTCCGTGCTCAAATGGCAGCCAGCTTTTGGAAGATCAACTGGTGAATCTTTCTCCAAAGGAAAGCGAAGAAATGCAGTCACTGATAAGGTATGACACCAGGCAGCTCTTCAGCCAAGGTTCTACATGGACGAGAGCTGGAGCTGCTTCACCTCTCTCCATTGAGATGGCACAGCTCAAGGACCAGGAGATTCTGTGGGTCCACGGTTTGCTCAAAAGCATCGAGGAAATGGATTTAACTGTTGGGGAATTTGTATACCTTCACATAAGCTAAGAAAAGGGGAAAACAAAAGTAACGAGTACAAGTTTGACGTATAATGAGGCACACATGCTGCACACCAGTAGGCAGTGCTCATTCAGACTTGACACGGACCATAGATCGTGGTCATATCAAGGTGATGGCTTAAGCGTTGTTTCTGCTGCATACATCTAACTGTCAGCATGCTGTATGTTTATGTGTGCCTTTTCTGATGAGGACAGTGTCAGAGCCTTGGCGGGAACTCTGTATCCTAGGAACTTGGGCAGCAAATCTCCCAGGAAAGCCACATCTAGATGAAAGGACCAGAAAATGTGACTTCTCTTGGTGTAACTTGTCCTCATGTAAAAAGGAACAGTACTAAAACCAAGATTTTATCCTGCTGGGCTTTTCTTTGGAATTGATGCCAGAGCTGGAAATGAAAGGTAAATTCAGACTCTCTCTCAGCTCCTAAACCAGCAGCTCCTAAAATGATGGTCTGCAATGCATGGAATGAAAGAAACAACAAAACAAGCATCGATTTTTTCCCGGATAACATTAATCACTACTTGACAGGGTTATACCAGAAAGCAGAGAAAGTGCACATCTTATCTGGTATCTGACAAATGAATGCACACTTAAAAGCCATTGTGATCTTCTAACACTTTGCTCTGGAGAAAACTTCAGCTCCACCTCATTTCAGATGCCCTGCAGGTGACGTGCATGGCTTTCCATTATTATTAATGGGGATTTAGAGCTGCTTTTCACTCTGTCAGAGGGGAAGCAGTGGGGTGCAGCACAATGAACTTTTGTGCGTCCTCCTGCCAGCAGCTGCTTCATGTCAGGGACCCTGAGTATTGAGCTAAAGCCCAGGGGCACGGAGTCCATCTCAGAACGGGCAGATGAAACTCCCCATCAGGAATTACATCTCTTGAAGCCATTGTCCAGAGCAGAGGAAATTGAACTGCAAGCCATACCCTGAAGCCTCAGGTCATGCCCTCTTCATGCTCACAGCTCCATGCTCTGCTAAAGCAGCTGCCAGCAAACTCACCGATATTCATCCTTCTCCTCCTGGGGAAAGGACCTGCATTTTGGCAGCTGCTTTCCTGCTCATGATCAATAAGACCTTGCATCTCTTGGGCAAACCATTGCAAGACCTTCCAGTGAGCCACCCTGACCCACCAAGCAACTCTTCATTAGTTTTCTGACATTATAACCCCAAAGTTATAGCTGTGAGATCACGGCTGCAGAGCAGCACCTTGCAGAGCGGCTTATTAAAGGCTGTCTTGCTTCAACAGAGATTAATCTGCTCTCCTTATGGATGTTATCCACAAACCTACTCAACTCTGCATCTGCTCCAGAGAAGAAGAAGTTGAGAATGACCCCGCCTAACCCAAATTTAATTGTAAAAGGGGAATTTCTTCCCAGGGAAGGTCAACAGGATGAACTCAAAGCCCTTACCAAGGACCCACACAGCCTAACTTATTTAATTCAGCACCTGAGAGCATTCAAGGACTGCTGCTCACCTGGGATAAGTTAGGTAGAAATGTATGTAAATTACATAAACCACAGCAAAATTTTTGAGTTATTCACCTGCATGAGATAGTAGCTCTGATCTCTCTGTTTTCATTTCCTTTATTGTAAAATCTGGAATATTTACATCAGTATAAAGATGTGCATTTTCAGATAACAGAAAAAGGAGCATCTCTTTCCAGTGGTGCCTGGTAGACAGCGATGGTGTACAGGAAATACTGATTGTGTTTGAGACAGTGCATCTCACGTTGAGTTAGAAATTCCTCATCCAGTCTATGTCTCAGACTTCTCTATCTCAGACAGCTTGGCTAAATGCAGGAGGAACGCAGAAAAGTTTTCTAGGGGTGGGGAAGAAATAAATGTGGCCACCATTCCCCCCGGTGGGAGTTCACAGCACGCAACAGTTTCCAGCTAGAACAATGAAAGATGGGATCTGTGATTTCTGCCAGGACTTACTTCTTGTGTAAGAAATAAAGTCTATGCTGTTGTTGTTATTCCCAAATGGCTCTTGCCCAGCTGAATAATCTCTGGATGCAGCCTCTACTGAAAATATTTTTTATTCTCCTTGTATCTAACAAGCCACTGTGGACATAAATTAGAAAGCCAATTAGAGCTTTGTTTTGAGCCTTTGATTGGCAGAAATTGAAAAGGGAAGGGAAGGGAAGGGAAGGGAAGGGAAGGGAAGGGAAGGGAAGGGAAGGGAAGGGAAGGGAAGGGAAGGGAAGGGAAGGGAAGGGAAGGGAAGGGAAGGGAAGGGAAGGGAAGGGAAGGGAAGGGAAGGGAAGGGAAGGGAAGGGAAGGGAAGGGAAGCCTCATGGCCACTCAAGAAGAGCTAACAAATATCAGTTTAACCCTACAAAGTTCCAGTAACCCAACAGCCTGGTTTCAAATATTCACTTGGCTTATTTGCCATATTAATTTCCCCCCCCCACTACATTGAAACTTTGACATGTGCCTGCTCAGGGGTTTGCAGGAGCCATCTCCCAAATGCCAACACATCTCTCAGCAGCTGCATGCCAAGCAGGGTGGGATGTCCAGGCTTCTCTCCAGCCCTTATGGATAATTTTCACTTTCCTACCAAGAACACATCTGCCCAGGTTAGCCCTAAGGAGGAGAAATGCTGATTCCAACTCATGGAATCATAGAATACCATGGTTGGAAAAGACCTCCAAGGTCTTTGGAGGTCCAGCTGTCCATGGCATGCTGCAAAACTCTGTGGGAACTTGAAAGCTTCTGTGCCGTAGTTTGGCATTTCTCTGGTATAATCATTTGTCTTCTAAACCCCGCAACAGCAGTGTCCCACATTCCTCATTTACTGAGCAGGGGCTACAGCTTTATATTACAGCTAATTTGAGCTAGGGGTTGATGAGGGCGTCGCTAACAAATGTGTATGTGAACACAAAGGAATATGTTGTTATTATGCAAGTAAACACGTAGTATGTATGTAATTCTATGCATACATATGTTTGTATGGGTGTCATTTGCCCCATTTAGGACCAGAGACCTCCAAGAAGTCCTTTCTGCTCAAAATGATCCCATCCCTGCTCAAGGCAGGGCTGACATCACAGCCAGGCCAGGTTGCTCATGGGCTCATCCAGGCATATTTTGAACATCTCCATGGTCACAGCCTCCACAGCCCAAAGTGAATCCCTGTAACTGGGTGG